TACATAAATCTATTGTCTATCATAAATTTTAGGTTTGGATTCAACTTCTATATTTTCTACGAACGTTAAGAAAGCTATTGCCGATCTATCTAATCTATTTCTATCTATCTATCTATTTAGTGTATCTATCTATCTAGTGTATCTATCTATCTATCTATCTATTGCCAGAATGGTTTGGTTAAAATAGATTACTGCATTAGCATCTGTTAAATAGAATAGCTCCAATTTTAAATTTGGTTGACATGATAGATTCTCTTGTAAAATATTTCACAAATGGGTCGACAGGTAATGTGTTTTTTTTTGCTTTATTGTCCAAGAATGTTAGATTTTCCTCCTAAATTGACTTATAAAAGTTAATTTATGTTAATTTATGTTAATAATTATAATTTAGCCTCAACGAGAAAGTAAGTAATGTTAAGTTATGTTAGTTTTGGGTCTTGAGATGTTAAATTGTGGTTGTGGTGGTAGTTGTGGTGGTAGTTGTGGTTAGTTGTGGTAGTTGGTATGTCTTATTTTACTACTACAGTACTTCTATTACTACTACCACCATTAGATCTCAGATTGTGGTTGTGATTGTGTTAGTAAATGTTAATTAATACTCGTAGTTGTGGTTGTTATAGCTGTTACAACTACTAGTATCCAAATGTAGCAACTACAATTGCTACTACTACTACAACAACCACAATCTGAAATCTGATGATAGTAGTGGTAGTAGTAGTAGTAGTAGTAGTGGTAATTTTGGCATACTAATAGCTACTACAACTACCACAACAACCACAATCTTAAAAACAAATAAACAAACAAACAAACAAACAAGGTCTATTTGTCTTAAAACAGAAATTAAAACAGACTCGGAAATTGGAAAGACAAGACTTAGTTTAATTGTTTGGTTTAACTGTTTAAACCAGAGAAAAAACAATGGTTTAACTTGGTTTACTTTGCCAAATCAAACAAGATGAAAACCTCATTGGTTTAACTTGGTTTAGCTTTTTAAACCAGAGGAAAAAACTTTGTTTAACTCAGTTTAATATGTTAAACCAAATGGATGATAAAGAGTTCGTTTAATTTTGGTTTAGTTTCTTAAACCAAAGGAAAAACACTGGTTTATGATGTTTTATCGCCTTAAACCAAAGATGAAAAACAGTTTGGTTTAAGTTGATTTAGCTTCTTAAACCAAACAAAGTAACATTTGGTTTAAGTTGTGTTTTAATTTGGTTTATTTCAGCATGCAAGAAATAGCTGTAGACGGAAATGGTTTAATAAAACACTTCTACGGTTTACTTGTGGATTATATAAGTGCACTTTAAAGTAGAATGATTTACTTACAAGTTACTTAAAGCATTGGTTTATTTTATGGGTTTATGTTGCTTTTACTTATATGAAGTTACTTAAAGCATTGGTTTATGAAATGGGTTTATTTTGCTTTTACTTATATGAAGTTACTTATACTTAAATTGGGTGAAATTTGGTTTATGATACTCTTTGTTTTCACTTAAATCCACTTAAATGGCTTTTACTTATGTTATTAGTTAAAAAAAAATACTTAAATTACTTATATTATGACATTGAGAAAGGGTTTGTCTTCCTTTACTAGATTACTTAAATCGTTGCTTAAGTATTAGATGGGTTTGTCTTCGTTTACTTATCTACTTATTTGTGCACTTAAGTAGGGGTAGAATGATAAAGTTACTTAAAGTTACTTAAAGTTACTTATAATCGTGGCTTTTAAGAATGGGTTGATCTTTGCTTCATTTAAAACTTCACTTTATTTTACTTATATGGGTTACTTAAGGCCTCGCGACGCTACTTGTTACTTATAATAGTAAAGGCGCTAATTATTGTTAACTTTATGGTTGTTTGGTTAATTTAACATCTGTTTTGTTAACTTAACTTGGTTGTTATATCTTGTTAAGTTATCATGATAGTTAACAATCCCAAGATAAACAACACAAATAAACCACATAATTTACCTCACTCCCAAGTTTGACAAGACGATTGATCTTAAGTTCACATGAGAAACCACATTAGGTAACTCAACACTAAGTATGTTAATTATCAACCACAACCAATGTTAATTTAACCCCAAAACTTGAAAATCAACACAACAAAACCACCACAACACCAATATTAACAACCACAATTGTTGATTTAATCCCCCTCCCCCCAAAAAAAAAATAAGACAACAAGAATACTCAAATTAACACCCACAATTAAAGTCCAAAAATTGTTAGTTAACACAACACTAGAGAGTTAACAAAAGTGCCAAATTATAACAACTTACTCACTGTTCCTTTTATCATATAAATGTTGCAAGTTGCTGTTTAAGTTAACATTACAGTGAAGCCTCCATGTAATGGACTATGTAGAGAAGAAGGGGAGTCTGTTGTATGTGAAGCCTCCATGTAACAGACTATGTAGAGAAGGGGAGTCTGTTGTATGTGAAGCCTCCATGTAACAGACTGTATAGAGAAGGGGAGTCTGTTGTATGTGAAGCCTCCATGTAACAGACTGTGTAGAGAAGGGGAGTCTGTTGTATGTGAAGCCTCCATGTAACAGACTGTGTAGAGAAGGGGAGTCTGTTGTATGTGAAGCCTCCATGTAACAGACTATGTAGAGAAGGGGAGTCTGTTGTATGTGAAGCCTCCATGTAACAGACTGTGTAGAGAAGGGGAGTCTGTTGTATGTGAAGCCTCCATGTAACAGACTTTGTAGAGGAGAAGGAGAATCTGTTATATGTGAAGCCTCCATGTAACAGACTAACAGACTCTCAAAATAAGCTTATTAGATTGAAGCCTTTGCCTTTATCTAATGGAGAGGTAAACCTGTAAGATGGAGTTTCGCATCTAACAGACACTGAATCCCAAGCCTGTAAGATGGGGGTTTCACATCTAACAGACACTGAATCCCAAGCCTGTAAGATGGGGGTTTCACATCTAACAGATACTGAATCCCAAGCCTGTAAGATGGGGGTTTCACATCTAACAGACACTGAATCCCAAGCCTGTAAGATGGGGGTTTCACATCTAACAGATACTGAATCCCAAGCCTGTAAGATGGGGGTTTCACATCTAACAGACACTGAATCCCAAGCCTGTAAGATGGGGTCTCACATCTAACAGACACTGAATCCTGCCTGTAAGATGGAGGTTTCACATCTAACAGACACTGAATCCCAAGCCTGTAAGATGGGGGTCACATCTAACAGACACTGAATCCCAAGCCTGTAAGATGGGGGTTTCACATCTAACAGACACTGAATCCCAAGCCTGTAAGATGGGGGTCTCACATCTAACAGACACTGAATCTCAAGCCTGTAAGATGGGGGTTTCACATCTAACAGACACTGAATCCCAAACCTGTAAGATGGGGGTTTCACATCTAACAGACACTGAATCTCAAGCCTGTAAGATGGGGGGTCTCACATCTAACAGACACTGAATCCCAAGCCTGTAAGATGGGGTCTCACATCTAACAGACACTGAATCTTAGTCCGGAAGATAAAGGTATCACTGTATACTACATCTAGAATCATATAACATTATGGTAATTTCTCAATATTTGCAGTGCACTTTTTTACCTACCCCCCTCTGTAGTAGAATTATTTACCTGCACTGAATGTTATATTACTGTCAGATTGAAGAAGCTTGTGTTCTCAGTTAGTTGGTCTAAAATAGGCCGGTTGGGAAGTTTTTAACTGTATGGCCTACGGCTTCGTTGCCCTGCTTCTGCATTGTTGAGTACGTCTCTTGTTTTTAGGTCAGATTGGTTGAGTTGTTTATTTTGGATTAAAAACTGCAAAGTTATGCATTTTAGCTGGTAGAGATGTTAGGTATATTAACATGCCTCATTTTAGGTGTTGAATATGTTAAATTACTTCTTTAAGATGTTAAAAATCAAAATATATGAAGTGGGATATTACAGGTAAACTTTGTCACTGTCTCAAACACACACCTCAATTAAGGTGTTAGATAAGTGAAATTACACATTTTAAGTGTTGAATTGTGTTAAATTCCATTTTATAATGCTAAATTCAGAAGATGGGTTAAGTAATTATAGTGTTAAAATGATCAAAGACTTAAGCATATACATATTCTTGATTTCTATAATAATGTTACTACTCAAACAAACGTATTCCTGCGTAGAATTGGGATGTTAATTTATGTTAATATCCTCCTGATGTTAAAATTTGGAAAGTGAGTTACATTAAATGAGATATGGTGTTACTACTGTATGTTCAAATTACTAAATACAGTACTGTATATTAATTTTTATTCATATACATCGTGCATAAGTTTTGGCTGTTAAATATACAGTATGTTAAATTTCTTATTACAGTGATAAATGGGTTAATTTAAGTGTATTTTGATGTAAAAAAAAGATAAAGCAGATACTTTGTCCCCACCAGCTGTTTTTATCATGTTAATAAGTTAAATGTGTTGTATCTTGTCACAACACATCCCTACCAGCATTAATTCGTTTGTTGAAAGTGTTAGATGACTGGTTAAGTAAAAGTTTTATTACGGGGTAGATCATATTGTTAAATTTAAGCTTAATTTCATATCTAATTCTTAACTTCAAGGTTAGAGTTAACAACAAAGATGGCTTACAGGATGGTTAAAATTGTCATTTTTTTGTGGATTTGAGACAAATTTAACATTTAATTGTTACTAAAACATCAGAAAAGACATTAATTTAGCATATTTTCATGTTATGAAATGTTAAGAACACCACAAAGGGCATCTTACCATGTCATCAATTGTTAAAATCAACACATAAGGCACCAGAAAATGAGTTAATTTAGCGTTTTATCAATCATTAAGCATTAAAAAAGACGAACACAAGAAAATGTGTTAGTTTAGCATAAGATCACATTTAAGTTCAGACCGAAAAACGAGAAATGACGTCAGAAAATGCAGAAGGAAGGCATTCGTCACAGACTCATGCCTGTTGAATGAGTTATTGCCTGTAATGAATGTAAATCAACATATTTTGCATGGCAGCGACTGCAGCCGCCGCCCTGAGAGGGGTTGCCATCCAGCGCGGCCGAGGTCGGTCATATCCGGCAGCTGCCCTTGCACGGCATCCCACCCCACTAACTGCTGCCTCTACGGCCGCCCTGCATGGCTACACACCGTAAGTCTCCATTACTCTCCCAACTCTCTGGGTTATTGCTGCAACGCGCGCTCCTTTACCGCTCCCGGGGTACGTCGATCATCGTCCAGTCCTTTTATTGTTCCCGGGGTACATTAGTCATCAAACGGACCCTTTGCTGCTCCAAGGGTACGTCGGTCATCATCCAGCCCCTGTATCACTCCCGGGTTTGTCATCATCCAGTTCCTTTACCGCTATAACATTTGTGGAATGTTGAGGGGTGTTCCTCTACCACTGCAACATTCTCATGGTTCATTGAGGGGCATATCTTTACCGCCATAATGCTCCAGCGATACGTTGAGGGGCGTTTCCTTACCCCTCTTCCACCATTCCTGTAGTACATTCAAGGATGCTTCTCTACTACCACAAAGTTCCCATAGTATTGTTGATCATCTTCAAGAGGCTTTATAGTTTAGGGTTACTATTCACTCTATCATCCAGAAATCCTAAAGGAGAGGTAACGGAAACTCCTTTAATTCCACATTGCACCTGTGGTATGTTGACCGTGTTCTGGAGGTCCTGATATTGAGGGAAGACACGTTGACCATCTTAAAGTTGAAAGGTGATATGTTGACCATCTTCTGAGGGTGAAGCTCCATTATTGCCACAACACTCCTGGAGTATGTTGAGGGGTGGGACGTTCTTTTACACTCATAACACAGATTGATGAGTTTGTACCATCTACCAGAGAGCATACAGTTGAGGGGCATTTCCTTACCATCATAATGTGCCGAGGGTACATTGACCATCTTCTGGAGGTCCTAAAGTTGTGGAGTTGGAGTTTTGATACTTGACACTCATTACACCTGCCATTCTCCATAGGCTCCATGGTAAAGGCTCCTTCACTCTTAAATTGTCATATGACAGTTGAAGGGTCGTTTATCACATACTGGGCTTATTGGTTCATTTTAAAATTTTCCAGTGGCTCTGCAGATGAAAGAGCCTTGTCTTTTATCATATCAAGGGCTTTGAAGCTTCTGGTTATGATATCGTCCAGAAGCGTCAAAGTTTAAGGCTATCCTGAGCTGTATATAAGAGTTCCAAGTTGAGGGCCATTGTGATTAAGGGGCATTTTGAACCCAAATATAAGAGGAGGGCTATTGTGAGGGCCTCCGTGATTGAGGGCTATTATGATGTACCCCATTGGTTCAAAAATCAAGTTACCTCATTGGTCAAAAACATTATCAAGTTGGGTCATTGGTAAAAAACGTAATATCAATTAGTCTCGGTAGTCAAAAAAAAAAATAAAAAATAGAAAATTCCCTCAATTGTCACAAAGATAAATAACTTTTCTTTGCCTCATCAGTCAAAAAGATATATACTCTAACTGATTAAATCATTGTACAAAAGAGTAAATATTTTAGTGTTTTGTTCATAAAAAAAAAATAGACAAAACTGTTTCATTGATTGGAAAGATAAACTTTGAGTTGCTACATTTGTCGATAAGGTAAATAATGAATTGCTAATTGAACAAATGCATAAATATTAAATTCTCTCATTGGTCACAAACATAAATAACTGTTGAATTGAATTGTTTCATTGGCCGAAATGATAAATAATGAAATTGTTGCTATAGGATGAAAATGTAAGTGTTAATTAGCTCACTTGTCGCAAACATAAATAAACATGGAATTTCCTTATTTTGACCAGACAAATGTAATAAAACAAACGTTAAGAAACACTCATTTTATCTCGCATTGCGTAAAGGAGCGCGTTGCAGACTGTCTCTCCAATCTATCTCTATCCAGTACAAACACCACAGACAAGCGTGCATATTCTCACATGTCGACGTAATATTAAGGAGTAATTGTTTACTGAAAGTCACTTAGAGTAACAAAATTGAACATTTGGTTGGTGTAATTTTTCACCTTCTTTCAGGGATCTTAAAGTTAATAGCTAATTTGATTACAACATCCACCAGATGATTCAAAACTGAGATTTAGATGGTGTACGTTGCACCATCTCCCACAGACCTGAAAGTCTTTTCTGGTTACACCATTACCAGAGGAACCAAATTTTAGAATTAATTTGCATAATTACAGTATATGGGTTTATACTATCTATTGAAGACCCCAAGTCCAAACTGATTGAGGTCTGTATCAAGGCAAACTGGTGGTATAATCTAAAATAGCCTGATGGTTAAATTAATCTGTATTCCTCCTTTCTGTAAAACACAATTCTTTTATAGGAAAACAGTTAAATTGACTGTCATATTGTCAAACAATACAAACAGTTACTTTGACTATCATATAGTTTTGCCAAACAAAAAAATGGTTATTTTTATTTATATCACAAAACAAAACAAACAGTTACTGTAATATATACAGTATATGTAAATGCTAACCCAGACACTCGACTGTGAGGATATGCCGTAAGTGGTGAGCAAGTTGCCGTGGTTGTGTATCACGCCAACATTCTGCGTTTGTAGTGTGTGTGGGGTTACGTAGCTAGGTTAAGCCAGGTTTAGAAATGGCAAGGCCTAGTTTTTATATTATTATTGCTGGGTGTCTCTAGTCGACCCAGAAGTGAAGTGGTACAATACCTAATTAACTTGAAATTAACTTGAAATTTAACTTGAAATTTGTCTGTCATATGACACTACCATCATATGACACCTGAAACTCAGAGTGACACACAAACCACTTCACAAAAACAATAAAAACTAACGTAACTTGAAATCTGACTGGTATGTGACACTCTATCGTCATATGACAGCTCAAACCTGGCCTAACCTGTTGCTGATTGTCACAAAACCACCTTACACTAGTCATATAATTTTCTGTATAGTGAATATGGCTTATTGAGGTTTTTGGGAATGTACAATTCTAAATCTTGTTTTTTTAATGTATTGGACAAATATGTGACCTGGACTGCTCATAGGTATTATTCAGTTGTTTATTTGTTTGGAATAATGCCTGCATATTATTGTGTATCTGTTTGTTTTTTCGATGGTCAATTGAGAGAGAGAAGAAAATCTTAGGGTTTTATAACCATTTGGGTAATTTTTTATTTATTTTTGATGACCCATTGAAGGAAAATCCCTGTATTGGTATTTTTTCAATGGTTTATTGAGAAATTGAACAAATTCCCAAGGTTATATACACATATGGGGCATTTTTTCAGTACTATAGTAAGAAGCACTGAAGAAAATACAAATGTTTTATGCCCATTTATTATCTAGGAAGTTTTTGATGGGTATGAGCTAAGATCCCGGTCGTTTTTCTCCCGATCTCTTAATGCACATCGAAGGAAAATACCCAGATTATTAAACTTTAAGATATGGGCATTTTTTCAAGCATACGAAATGTGTGTTAAACTGTGTCGAGAATTTGTTTTGGAGTGTTTACTCTCTATGACTGTTGAAATATTGGTTTAAGATTGTATTTGCTTCCATGGTGTTTATTATTCAGTAAGATACCAAAATATTTGTTTAATATTCGTTTGGGACCCAAAATATTGGTTTGATATTTGTTTAGCATTGAAAGAATTGATTTAACATGACTTAGGAATCAATGTATTAGTTTAACGTGAATTAGTATTGGAAGGATTTGTTTATTGCAGTTTGAATTCTGGTTTAGATGCACAAAATATTTACTGTATATGGGGCTTTATATTCCTCTTTCATTTGGTAAATATGGTAATAATCTTCATTTAAGTTTCCAATCTGTTTAGTACAATAAACAGCATTAGTTTACCATTATATCAGTATGTGAAGGCGTTTAAGCTTTTAAACAGTGTAATTTAAGGCAATTTAGTGATTTTATTGATGTTTGATTATTGCTTTTTAATTAAATGCACTACAGTATAGTGAAAGAAAAAAGTGCACCTAAAACAGATAAACGTGTTAAAGCGAATGGATAAAACACCAAAAAAGACAAAAATACATCAATACAAAACCAAATGCACTACTTAACGAAGAATGAAACGTTTGAAAATACTTAATGTAAGCAAAATGCAAACTATAAAAAATTATACCTATAATGCCAGAAAAAACAAAATCAAAACACAACTATTTATAAACAAAATGTCAAAATACATCTTTAAAAAAAATGCAGGAAAAATAAATGTGTTGAATCATCTACAGAAACCTTTAAAATATCAAAACAGGGAAGCTGCAGGGAAAAAATAAACAATGAAAAATTAAATGTAGGGAAAAAATAAACAATGAAATATTAAATGTAGGGGAAAAAATGCAGTCCAAAACAAAACACGGCACAGCTAAACACCAAACACCAGAGAGCCTTATACCCCAAACGTAATATAGAGAAACGTAGAATTTCTATGTTTGAATGTGTGTTTGCTAAGGATATTTGCACACGCAAGAAAAAAATAGCACGGTTTTGCGCTTGTTATTATTGGGACTTGAAGGTGATTATATCTGTCTGTACAATAACTGTGCTATCCATCTATCTATCTCTATCTATCTATCTATCTTTGCATTAGATGATACAGGTTTAATTTTATAAACCATATGAGGGCATTTGTGCTTAATTAGACTAATTTGGTTTATAATTAACAACTGGGGTGTAGATAGCACTAAAACACCTTCCTCTTAGACATTCAGACAGACAGACTGACACGCGTTTGGAGACAGACAAACGCATGGTTGACGATCTATACATTTAAACCAATGTGGGGATTTTATAATGTGTTTTTACTGGTTTAGCATGACATATGTATTTTAAACTTGGAGTTTTGTTGGTTGAAATCGACATTTCTTGGTTTAATCCTCAAAAATGTTGCTTTGACGGGATATTTCTTGGTTTAACTTGGAAATTTCATGGTTTACTCCACATAAATGTTGGTTTAACTTGACATTTCTCTGTGTGATCTACATATATGTCGTTTTAACTTCACCTATCATGGTTTATCGAAGTTCCTGTGAAAATAAACCAATTTATCTTCACTGAAAACCTCATTAAATCACATTTTGAAAACTAATTTATACCCACATTTGTTTAATCTGTCATTGGTTTTAATATATCTTGTTTAATGGGTCAAGTAAACCCATAAAACCAATTATAGAGGTTTATTAATGAGCTAAGAAAACCATTATACCTCTACAGTCTGTTTTAATGGGAAAAACCAATTAAACTAGTCCAATTACATGACAAGAACATGACCGTTTGAGGGTTTAAGTCTGGTAAGTGTTGACTGACTGGTCTATATGTGGTAAGTGAAAATAACTGACTGTTTCATGAATGGTAAGTTGATTTAACTGGTTTATGACTAAGTGGTAAGTGGATAAAACTGGTTTAAAATGGTAAGTAGGAACAGTTTTTTGGTAACTTTAAAATGTAAGTAATATAGAATATTAGGGTGGATTAGACTGGTCCAGTTACTCTACAGTTAATTGGTTGACTGTCAGAGGCATTGGATTGATGTCTAGTTTATCTCCAGTTAATTCAGTTCATATACAATCAGTTGGTTGACTGTTTAGAGTGATTTATAATAAATCCAGTCATTCTACAATCAATTGGTTGACTGTTTGTGGCTTAGACATCAAGTCAAACAGTCATTTGAATTCCTTGACTGTATTGATCTCCAGTCACTTTTCAGTCGGTCTATTGACTGTTAGTGTGGATGGATTGATGACCAGTACATCTTCGTCAAGTCAGTCAGTCTAGGGAACTTAACTGGATGTAAAACTGTTTAATTTCAGTTAGTAGTCAGTCTAGTGACCTTAGCTGGAATGTAAATTGTTTAATTCCAGTTAACAGTCAGTCTAATGATATTAACTGGACCATAAACTCTTCAAGGCCAGTTATTGTCTCTTGGACTGTTAAAAGTCCAGTCATTTATAATTAACTGGCATTTTAAACTGTTCAAATCCAGTTAAGTATAGTTAAGTGGTAAAGTATTTTAAATTGTTCAAAGTCAGATAAGTATAATAAACTGGCCATAGCCAGAACATTCAGTTTTAAGTCACCTTAACTGTTAACTGCTAAGGAATCTCCCCCGATGACGTCACAACTGTAGCAGTTAATAAATGGTCAGTATATTTTTCAATTAATTAACAGTTAATTGCAGTCATCAGTCTTTAATTTAATGTTTTTATATCTAAGAGTCTTCACTGATTAATAGATTGTATTTCTTGATTTATAATTGATTATTTTCATGAAATTCAGGACAAAACGGGAAATATATGAATATAATCAATTATAGGAAAGATATATAATTCATAATTAATTAATATAATAATATATTAATTATATCTAAGAATTAAGTATTTTGTCATGTTTAATTTAATGTACATTACATAGGAATTAATTTTAGACATTAAGAATTTGAACTAGTTACTGTATATCAATTATATAAAGTTAATCATTATAGGCTCAAGTTATTTCTATATAATTATTTAAGGTTTTGATTATATAGGAATTACATTAGTATATAACTTTTATACATTGTTCCAAATTAATTTACAAATATAAATATTGTAGTAATTTGATTTAAGATGTGTCTATTTAATTATTTAAGATACAGGATATATATATATATATATATATATATATATATATATATATATATATATATATATATATATATATATATATATATATATATATATATATATATATATATATATATATATATATATATATACCGTATCTGTTAATTTAACTAGGCTAGTCTTACCTACTATTAAAAGTTATAATAAGAATTAATTAGAATAAGAACTTATTTTTAATTATATGTATTTCAAGATTAAATAGAGATATATAGGTTAATTCAGTTTGAGATTATGTGAATTAATTTAATATATTTTGAGATATTTCCAATTTAATATTAATTAAAAAAATAATAATAGTATAAGGTATAAATATTACTTGATCAATTAGCTATGTAAACAACTTTATTTTACCTGTCAAATTAGGAATGTAAACAGAATATAAATTTGTTTACTTAATTTACAACTGAGAAGAGGAGTTATTTTATCTGCCTCACATTTGTAAACAGAAAATGTCTACCTCTCACATGTGTAAACAGGAGCTATTATAGTTAAAATAACTTAAGTTGTTTGCATTTTACAAGTTGTGTAAACACTCAAGGTCTAAATACATGGTTTCCATTGAAGGTCTAAATATATGATTTTGTTTGCCTTATTTGCAGTGGTGTTTATTATGACCCCTTCTTAGCTGCTCAAGCTGCCTCAGCCACATCACTACAAGTAAATCAGGTATGTAATACAAACACTGAACAGTATAAACAAACTGTAATATATTATTGTAGGTGTGGAAAACAACTTATTCAGTTTTGACCACAAGTGTCCATTTTTGATCACATGTGTCCAGTTTTGACCACAAGTGTTCAATTTTGACCATAAGTGTCTGGTAAGTAACATAAACAATGCAAACATGACGAGTTACTTGGAAGTAATGTGTAAATCTGGTAAGTAATTGTAAACATTAATTTTATATAAGAATTGATGCAAATAACTTTAAATTTTTTACTTTAGCTCTATAAACAACTTTGGTTTATATACCATTTTAAAGTATCTTTGTAAACAACAAATATTTGTTTACAAGCCATTATTTTGTTTACATATCTGAGTCAGTGTCCAGTTTTAATCACATGTGTCCAATTTTGGCCAAAATTGTAGCATTTTTTTTAAATTGAATATTTTGATAAAAATGAATGCAGTGTGGCCTACATTTTTTATAGAATTTTTACATAATTGATATTGCAAGCAAAGAAAATAGTTGATTAATTGTTTATAAAGCAAACAAGAAAGCATAGTTGGAATCATTATTTATATTGCAAACAAGAAAAATAGTTTGATAATTGGTTATATTGCAAACAGGAACATAATATTTGATTGCTTCTATTGTAAACAAGGAAACCAATGTTTGATTGATTGTTTATGTTGCAAAAGAGGAAATCAGTTTATTCATTATTTATATTGTAATTAAAGCACAACCAAATTAATTAATATTAGATGTATTTTTTTACAATGAAAAGTGACATTTAAACAATGAGTTGTTTACAGTTCACTAGTGACCTGTCAGGTAAACAAGGTGTTGCTTTTCTTGTTTACATTAAAATAATTATAAGAACATTACAAAAAACATTGTTTAATCTTGTTTACAATGAACTAATGATTTACATATTGTAAACAAGTCTTGCTTTCTTTGTTAACAATGATCTGATGGTTTATTCCATAAACAAGATGATTTACAATGCACTAGTGATTTTTCCTTTAAACAAGGATTTTTTGTCCTTTGTTTACAATGAGTAGTGAAATGTAAACAGATAATTGTTTACAATGAACTCATTTAAATACTGTAAACAAGGCATTGCTTACATTTGTTTACAATGAACTTGTAATGTAGATAAGTGAAAGGGAGTGGCTATGCGCTCATGATAGCTTGTTTGCCTTGTTTGCCTAAAGGCTTAACTATATATTTGTTTGCATTGTTTGCCTTCAATATTGTCTTCAGCATGATTAGTAACCACCCTTTTCAGCATTTTTATGGGGAATTTTCTATATTTTTGTTTGCAAGTAATCCTGTTTGCTATTAAAGCACTTCTAGTTATTAGCAATTTTGAAGTATTTACTTTAATCACTAATGTGTTGCTTGTGTGATTTTTGAGAAGTTTGCATTTTGTTTGTCTTTTTGACACATGTACACAGCCAAAAAATCACCCCCTCCTTACTAAGGCCTTTTTTGTTGCTTTGTTTACCTGTGAATGTAAACAAATAGCAGATTTTGTCTGATAGTTTGCACTAACCACAAACACCTTTTAAAATATCTCTGTATTTTTTCCTGTTTATTTAGACTACAGTATAGCATGACAACAATAGCATGATTTTCATGTAAACAAATAAGTAATGGCATGACAGAATGTAAACAAACAATGGCATGACTATGTAAACAAATAAGCAATATCATGACAGTATGTAAACAAATAAACAATAGCATGACAGTATGTAAACAATTTAACAATAGCATGGCAGTTTGTAAACAATAATATGACAGTATTTGAACAATTTAACTATAGCATGAAAGTATGTAAACAATTAAACAATAACATGTCATTATGTAAATAAATAAACAATAACATGACAGTATGTAAACTAGACAATAGCATGATGGTATGCAAACAAAAGTGAATAAATGTTTGACAGTATGTAAACAAGTAAACAAACAATATGCATGACTGTAAACAAACTGCATATGACTAAACAAACTTTGTATAAATAAATAAACAATATGTATGACTGTAAACAAACTATGTATGAGTAAACAAACTATATGCATGACTGTAAACAAACTATGTATGAGTAAACAAACTATATGCATGACTGTAAACAAACAATGTGCATGTTTATAATTAATTGTATGATTGTAAACAACTGTAAACAATATTAGCAGCAAGTCATGTGGTGACTAGGAGAGCCATGAGGTAAACAGGTCAACAAACAGGGCAAACAAAGCAACAAACTCAAGGTAACCAATTGTAAACAAGTATATCCATATGTTAACAATATATCATGAATTTTTTTATATATGTATGTTGTGTAAAGATTGTTTGCTTTCTGTTTGTGTAAACAGTGTTTGCTTTGTTGTTTTTTGTGTAATCAAGAGTTAAAAATAGGTATTTTAATGTGTGTTTTGTTTGTGTGTGTGTGTATATATATACAGTATTTATAATGCTGTGTGTGTCTGTATGTGTATATATTTATGCATGTCCAGCATGGGTCTAGTTTGCTTGAACCAAAGAAAGTATATACGAAGAATTATTTGTGTACATCCAGTACTTGTACATCTGACATCTGTACACACAGTAAAAAATGATATGAGACCACAGACAATGTATTTGACCTTACCAAGACAACATGAGTTATATTGATCATTTTGACAACCTTACCAAGACAACATGAGTTATATTGATCATTTTGACAACCTTACCAAGACAACACCAGTTATATTGATCATTTTGACCTTACCAAGACAACATGAGTTATATTGATCATTTTGACAACCTTACCAAGACAACATGAGTTATATTGATCATTTTGACAACCTTACCAAGACAACATGAGTTATATTGATCATTTTGACAACCTTACCAAGACAACATGAGTTATATTGATCATTTTGACAACCTTACCAAGACAACACCAGTTATATTGATCATTTTGACCTTACCAAGACAACATGAGTTATATTGATCATTTTGACAACCTTACCAAGACAACACCAGTTATATTGATCATTTTGACCTTACCAAGACAACATGAGTTATATTGATCATTTTGACAACCTTACCAAGACAACATGAGTTATATTGATCATTTTGACAACCTTACCAAGACAACATGAGTTATATTGATCATTTTGACAACCTTACCAAGACAACACGAGTTATATTGATCATTTTGACAACCTTACCAAGACAACACCAGTTATATTGATCATTTTGACAACCTTACCAAGACAACATGAGTTATATTGATCATTTTGACAACCTTACCAAGACAACATGAGTTATATTGATCATTTTGACCTTACCAAGACAACACCAGTTATATTGATCATTTTGACAACCTTACCAAGACAACACCAGTTATATTGATCATTTTGACAACCTTACCAAGACAACACCAGTTATATTGATCATTTTGACAACCTTACCAAGACAACATGAGTTGTCTTGGTAAGTTATATTGATCATTTTCAATTTCATGGGACCATTTGGACAGATTTTTTTGTACTGTGTGTACATGTAAATATATACACAAGACATGAATGTATGTTTTACTGTGTGTACATGTAAATATGTACACAAGACATGAATTTTATAGTTATGTACGTATATTGTCCTGCTTGATTGCATCGTGTTTCATTCTTTAAATAATTTTTTTGTGCATAATGTCACTCACTATTTAAAAAACTTGTTTGTGACGATCTCTTGCTTGTGTATATAGTTATTCAATTTTGTATACAGTTTATAATGAGCTTGGTATTTTGCAAACCATAATGTTTAATTGTTTGTAGTATTTTTTGGCTTGTCTGCATATTGTTTAAGTAATGTTTTGTAATGATTGTTTGCATTGTCATTAAGAGATTAAGTAAATTCTTTGGATTTACATTTAGCATAATATTAATCAGCAGTTGACTTGTTTGTAATAATAGCTTGCATGTTTTTAATTATTGTTTGCATCATGTCATTCATGGTTTGACTGGCTTGTAATGCTTGTTTGCCTGTTTGTTGTAAAATGTTTTGGATTGTTTTGTTTATGTTTCATGGGTGTCTTTGTTTGGATGTCAAGAATGTATTTGTTTACAAGGCTATTTAGTTATTTGTGGCTGTGTTTGTTTCTTTGACTATGTGTTGACATGATTATTTGTTTACATGACTTGCTTGTTTAAATGATTGCGTGTATATGACCTTTTTTTATAGTTTATGATAGAGGTGTATAAATGGAAGTCAGGGCTAAACAATGGGAACATTACAAAGGTACTCAAACTATCCAACCAGGAGCGAACTCCTAACAATGGTTTTAAATTAGACAAATTTAGACTTAGGTGTGAAATAGGTAAACACTGGTTTGGAAATAGAGTAGTGGACGAATGGAACAAGTTACCAAGCATTATCATTAACTCAATACTGGATAGCTTCACACAGGTTGGATGGATATATGCGCAGTAGGGGTTGGGTGTAAATGGGACTGTCCAGTATGGGCCAATAGACCCGCTGCAGTTTCCTCCATTCTTAGATTCTTATGTTATATTCACTTGTTTTTCATGAGTATCAGGAAGTTAGTTTGTTAGTTATGGCTGTGTTATGAGTATGTTATGAGTTTTACGAGTGTGCTATGAGTGTGTTTATGAGCTTTAAGGGTGTTAAGAGTGTGTTATGAGAGGTTATGAGTGTTAAGAGTGTGTTATGAATGTGTTATGAGAAGTTATGAGTGTTAAGAGTGTTATGAGTGTGTTATGAGAGGTTATGAGTGTTAAGAGTGTTATGAGTGTGTTATGAGAGGTTATGAGTGTTAAGAGTGTTATGAGTGTGTTATGAGAGGTTATGGGTGTTAAGAGTGTTATGAGTGTGTTATGAGAGGTTATGAGTGTTAAGAGTGTTATGAGTGTGTTATGAGAGGTTATGAGTGTTAAGAGTGTTATGAGTGTGTTATGAGAGGTTATGAGTGTTAAGAGTGTTATGAGTGTGTTA